GACTCTTTGGGGGCTCCCTTAGGAGTTGGTGTGTTCAAATTCTTAGCTCATAACTGTCCCATTCTTGCAACCCAGCTCCTGTGCACTGTCACCAGACATATGCTTCATGGCTCTGCCAACAACCCATTCTGCCAAATGGTCTCTAGGCAAAAGTCTGTTGGTCAACAAGTGGCACTGGTAGCAGTGGAGATGGGATTCATCAAGCGTGCCTCTGAATAACTTTCCTTATGTTCATTTGGGATGCATAGCTCTGGTGAGGAACAAGCCTGGGCCTGCCTCAATTGGTCTTGGGTCTGGTGCTTGCTGGGACCCCACACATCTAATTGGGTTACCACTCTGGTAATGACTTCTGCCGCTTCCTAGTAGGTTGTGGGTTTGAGCCACTGACCTTGCAGTTCAAACTGCAGTCCAGTGCATTACCCTGCAATGCCACACCAGGACTCCAGTGGCCATCTTAGGTGCAACTATTAATTAGTCTCACTCCGTCTAGAACAAAGAGTGAAGAAAATCAAGACACATGGAAACAATTAGTCCAAAGTACCAATGGCCCATAGGAACCCTGAGACTCGAAGAACTGGATGGTTCCTGGTCACCACAGCGACAGCTCTGATAGGGATCACGATAGAAGGTTCTAGATAGAATGGGAGAAAAAATGTGGAAAAAAACATCAAATAATAAAAGAAAATAAGACTAGGCTTACTGGTCTAATAGAAAGTGGTAGAATCCCTTAGATACCCTTCTAGCCTGGAACTGAACTCACCCTCAAGGCTCAACTATCAACCAAACAGTTACAGGTCTATTACGTGAACAGTAACACCAGGGAGGTATGTACCCCTAAGAACGATCAATCACACAAGTTCAAAAGGGGCATCATTTGCCCAGGGAAAAGCTCAGCAGACAAGAAGGGATAGGAAGGAAGGGAAAATGGAAATGGTAAGCACAGGACGAAAGTGGAGAAAGTGCTGTTACTTTACAGGAGTTGCAGACAGTGTCACAACTCAAAATGAGGAGGAGTGGCAGTAAACATCCATTAATAATAGTTACACCTTTCACTATATAGAAATGAATGAGAAGGAGTAGCAGTAAACATTCATTAATAATTGGAACCTGGAATATACAAAATGTGAATCTAGGAAAATTGGACATTGTCAAAAATAAAATGATACCCATATAGATCAATATCTTAAGCTTTAGTGGGTTGAAATGGACTGGTATTGACCATTTTGAATCTGATAATCATATGGTTTATTATACCAGAGATGGCCAACTGAAGAGAAATGGTGTCATATTGATCATCTAAAAGAACATTTCAAGATCTATCTTGAAGTACAATGCTGTCTGTGACAGGAAAATATCCATACGCCTACAAGGAAGACCAGTTAATACAACTAATATTCAAATCCACGCACTAATCACTAAAAGCAGTGATGATGAAATTAAAGAATTCTACCAACTTCTTCAGTCTGAAATTGATCAAATGTGCAATCAAGATGTATTGATCATTACTGGTGGTTGGAATGCAAAGGTTAGAAACAAATAGGAAGAATCATAATTGAAAAAACAGTCTTGATGATAGAAATTATGCTAGAGATCGCATGGTAGAATTTTGCAAGACCAGTAAGTTATTCATTGCAAATGCCTTTTTAAAACAAGATCAAAGATGACTATACATATGGACCCCACCAGATGGAATACATAGAAGTCACCATTGATTACATCTATGGCAAGAAATATTGAAAAAGCTCCATATCATCAGATCATCAACCAAAGCAAGGCCAGTGGCCGACTGTGGAACAGATCATCAATTGCCTTTATAAAAGATCAGGCAGAAGCTGAAGAAATTTAGAGATCATCTCAAGAACAGACTTGATACATTAGACACTAATGACTGAACACCAGAAGAGCTGTGGGATGAGATCAAGAACATCATACAGGAAGAAAGCAAAAAAAAATCATTAAGAAGACAAGAAAAGGGGAAAAGAGAAAAATGGATGTCAGAAGAGACACTGACACTTGTTGTCCAGCATAAAGATGCTAAAGCAAATGGAAGAACTGAGGAGGTAAAAGAGTTAAACAAAATATTTAAAAGACAAAGACAAGTATGATAATGAAACGTGCAAAGAACTGGAGATAGAAAACCAAAAGGAAAGAACATGCTCAGTATTTCTCAAACTGAAAGATGCAAATAAAAAATTCAAACCTTGACTTGTAATATTGAAGGATTCTATGGGCAAAATATTGAGTGATGCAGAAAGCATCAAAAGAAGATGGAAGGAATACATAGAGTCACTGTTCCAAAAAGATGTTCAACCATTTCAAGAGATAGCATATGATCAAAAGCCAATGGTCCTAGAGGTAGAAGTCCAAGCTGCACTGAAGGCACTGGTAAAGAACAAGGCGCTGGGAATTAATGGAATACAAATTGAAATCTTTCAACAAATGGATGCAGCACTGGAGGCACTCACTCATCCATGCTAAGAAATTTGAAAGACAGTTATTTGTGCCCATTGCAAAGAGAGGTGACCCAACAGAATGCAGAAGTCATCTACAATATCATTAATATCACCTGCAGGTAAAATTTTGCTAAAGATAATTCAAGGACTGCTACAATAGTATATTGACATGTCAGAGGTTCAAGCTGGATTTAGACCAGGACATGGAACGAGGGACATCATTGCTGACGTCAGAGGAATCTTTGCTAAAAACATATAATACCAGAAAGATGTTTGCCTGTGCTTTACTGGCTTTCATCTGTGTGGATCATGACAAGCTATGGACAACATTGTGGAAGATGGGTATCCCACACACTTAATTGTAGTTTTGAAGAACCAATTCAAACAGAACAAGGCCACACTAAATGGCTTTAAATCAGGAAAGGTGTGTGTCAGAGTTGTATTCTTTTACCATACTTATTCAATCTGTATGCTGGGCAAATAATCCAAGAAGTTGGATTATATGAAGAAGAATGTGTTATCAGGATTGGAGGACTACTCCTTAACAACCTGCTTACTAAAAGTAAAAAGGACTTAAAATACTTCCTGATAAAGACCAAAGGTTACAGCCTTTGATGAGTTGCACCTCAATGTAAAGAAACCACTGTATGGGTTGTACCTCAATGTAAAGAAAACAAAAATCCTCCCCACCTGACCATTAAATACCATCATGATAAATGGAAAAAAGACAGAAGTTATCAAAGACTTCATTTTTGCTTGGCTCCACTATTAACACTCATGGAAGCCGCAGTCAAGAAATCCAACCATGAATTGCATTAAACAAATGTGTTACACAAGACTTCTTTAAGGCATTGAATGAAGAGCAAACATGTCAGTTTGAGGACTAAGGTGTGCCTGACCCAAGTCATGGCATTTTCAAAAGCTTCATATACATGTGAATGTTAGACAGTGAATAAAGACTGTAGAAGAATTGATGCATTTGAGTTCTGGTTCGGAAAAGCATATTGAAAGGACCATGGACAACCAGAAGAACAAACAAGTCTGTGTTGGAAGAAGCACAGTCAGAATATTCTTTGAAAGTCAGAATAGTAAGACTTTGTCTCTCATACTTCAGACATATTCCCAGGAGGGACCAGTCTCTGGAGAAGGACATCATGCTAGGTAAAGTGGAGGGTCATCGAAAAAGAGGAAGAGCCCAATGAGATGAACTCAAGCTTAACAATGATTGTGAGAATGCCACAGGACTGGGCAGTGTTTCGTATTATTGTCCATAAGGTCACTATGGGTTGGACTCGACTTAAAGGCCCCCAATAACAACAACAATCAACATCATAAAACCAAATGTGTATGAAATGTGTGTTGGATAACCAATTTGCTCTGTAAACTAAACTCAGCCATATCACAAGAAAAAAGCTAAAATAACAACAAAACAACCCAAGTCTGTAGCTGTCCAGTAGACTATGCCTTCTAGCAAACCTGTGTGTTTTCCAGCAAAACTGCTCCATAGGGTTTTCTTGACAATCATCTTTGGGGAAACTAGATCATGAGAGCTTTCCATGATGCTTCTGGTTGTGTTTGAACAGTCAACCTTTTGTTTAGCAGATGAGTCCATTCACCTTTTATACCCTCCAGGGACTTCACTGAATCTGGGGGCTTCCTGGATGGTGCTGCAGGATAAGCAAGGTCAGTTGGAACTGCAAAGTTGGTGGTTCAAACCCACCAGCCCCTCCTTAAAAACCCTATGCAGGGTCACTATGAGCCTGAATCCACTCTCCTGCTCTTAGCAGCATCAACCCTAAAAAGACTTTAAGACGTCCATTAGCGTACTGGGTCTCGTGTTGGGCTGCTAACCACAAGAGCAGCGGTTTGAATTCACCAAGAGCCTCTCAGGAAAAATATGAGGGTTTCTGTTCCTATACCGAGCCACTATGAGTCAGAACTGACTCATCAGCACACCACCACCAGAGACATGAAATAACTCAGGTCAGGAGTCACTCACAGGAGCCTCGTGTGGCACTGTAGGATAAGCATTGGACTCCTAACCACACAGCTGGCAGTTCAAACCCACCAGCCGCTCCTCAGAAACCCTATGCAGGGTCACTGTGAGCCCACTCGATGGCACTTAACAACAAGACATAAAGCTTTGAACAGCTCTCCTAAGCCAAGGGCGAGGATTCGTTCTCAAACATTTATTGATGCTCCTTTGGGCTGTGAAGACCACCCAGTCTGGGGCAAGGTGCAGGGACAACAAATAGCTGGGTCCATTCCTGAGTCCCTTGAACGTGTTACAGAGGGAGGGAGGGTCAGATCACCCAGGTCTTGAACGCGGGGCCGAGGCGCTAGGAAGAAGATTTGGGAGTCTATGGAAATACAGTCAGATCCAACTGTAAGGCCGTGTGGTGAGGTTAGGCGAAAGACCCAGAGCACAGGTACAGAGGGGACTATGTTGCTGTAGGCCCACAAGATTCAGTGGTGGTGGGCGTGACTCTGGGCACTAGGCGGGTCATCGCTGCGGTGGGCGTGGCTACAGTGTACGAAGCCGCGGGATCAGCATCTGCGCCTCTTCTCACAGATCCAGTTGTCCTTCGTGTTGCAAGGTGCATCGTTCCACATCCCGGTGTCCAGCATCATGATGCAGCTTTCACCCCCCTGCGAGTCATTGGGCTCCCCAACGTTCCAGTGGCTGCAGTGGTTGGGTGGGGTATTGCTAAGGAGGCGCCTGGGGTCCAGCCTTCCTTCCCAGGGTCTGGTCAGTTTGCAAGTATTTCTTGGACCTAATTTAGGCTCCCTACGAGTCTCGAGCACATCACTAGACAGTTCCTGGGGTCTAGCCTGAGTATTCCTCAGGATCTAACCTCAGCAAAGGAGTCCCAAAGCCTGTCCGGGCCCACCTCCCCAAGTCTTGGGAAACCTTCTCCTCACCTGAAGCTGACCTTGACGCCGTCCACCCACTCATAGCTCTTGATTGTACCCTTGTGTCGCACGGCCTTTAGGCCCATCCAGAAGCCGAACCCACGCGTGTTCGCACTCAGGAAGGTCTAGGAGGGGAGAATAAAGCCAATCGAGTTGTCCCAACCCCGCCTTTGCCTGAGCCCCGCCCCCGATCCACAGGTACACAGAGCCTCCCGCGGCCCGAAACGAAACGCACCTGCTCCTCCAGATCCCCCACGATGACCAGGCGCGCGCTGGCGTCAGCGCAACTTTTCTCAGCAACGTCCCAGTTGCCCTGCGCCTTGGAGAAAAGGTAGCAGGAACCCTGAAAGGGCATCCACGATGTGGGACACGGCTCGCAGGAGTCTAGAGAGTGGTCGGGTGTCAAGAATGGTCCGACCATTCCTTGTCCCAGCAGACCCACAAAATGGGGTGAGCTGGACCGCCGGGCAAGGGCCGATGCCAAAGAACCCAGAGTTCAGAGGAGTGGTCAGATCAGGGGACCCCGAGGCCCACATGCAGCGTCCACTGTGCCCCCCCGCGAAGCTCACGGTTTCCAAGCTTGGCAGCTTCCAGCGCCCGCAGCAGCTCACTGCGGATGTCCTCGAGGTCCCTGCCCGCCAGCTGCATGTCCTTGGTCACTGTGGGGTCAGGAGAGTGGAGATTACAGCTAGGATCAGGAGGTGAGGTCTGCCTGGGGAATGGTCAGGACTTAGGTCAGAAGTCAACGTCAGAGTCTGCGCCAGGCAGATAGTTGGCACTAGGGTGAAGAAGGACCGTTAGATCTAGGTAGGGTTGTGGTTAGGAGTTGTGGTCAAGACCCAGCGGTGGGGTCGGACTGAGTCACAGTGGGGTCGGGAAGTAAACCGAGAGTCAGGTCATGCCTCAGTCAAGGATCTGAGGTCGTGGTCACTACCCGCGCCCTCACCGCGCTCGCGTAGTTCACTCAAGACGCTCTGCTGCTCCTGCAGTTTCGTCTGCGCGGCCCCAAGGAGCCCCTGAGTGGTCTGCAGATGCGCCTGCGTCACGGAGCCTTGAAAAGTAGGGGAGGGAGATGAGGAAGAAAGTGAGGGATCTGAGGGCAGCCTGCCCCGCCCACACGGGCCACAAGCTCCGCCTTGCCCGCGAATCACAAGCCTGTTTCCGGTCTTCCACTTACAACTAGTTCTGCAGGTTTTGACCTCATTCTGCAGAACACCCAGCTCCGCCTCCTGCTTCGAGGCTGGAATAGACACACACGCAGGATTCACCCGCCGGGAATCACAGCATAACCTTCCCCACCCTGCTGCCGGACCCGGGACTACAGGGTGCCCCACCCCTATTCGGCTTCACCGCTCTGCACCAACCGTTTGTACTCAACAGGTCCTGATGGTCGAGTAGTTCCTCGCGTTCTTTGGAGGCTGCGGAGAGAAGTCTTGCAGGCGCGACCTGGGGACTAGGGACCCATCCCCACGCCTAAGGGTGCGGGGACCCAGGTCTTGGAATTCCTCAGAGGGGGCAGACAGACATAGGGTGCACTCACGACTCCGAAAGAAGAGAAGTACACACACAGGGGAACACGCACACACAGATGCGCACAACGGGAGAATTTACAGGAACGACAGGTACCGGCGCTCATTCCCAGGCGAGGGTCTGGGACCCAGAAGTCTGTGGCCCCAGGAGAGGACTTACCCTTGCAGGCACTTACCCCGGAACAATAAGATGCTCAGAACCAGGGCCCACAGTACTGCGGCCACTACAGCCAGTGCCACCCAGAAGGACTTCTGTCGCCAGCGTCCCCAGTGCCCTGGGGGACACAGGTGGACTGCTGGGTCCGCTGCAACAGGACTATCCCAGATTCCTAAATCTCCTGGCACTAAACCCTGACCACATGTGTCCCTCCCAGGAAACTGAGAACCAGAGGTTCTCACCATCATTCAGCCTCTAAGTGGTAGAGTTGGAATTTGAACTCAGGTCCATTGGCTGTAGACCTATTGTGGCTCTCCACTACCTGGACCACCACTTGGCTCTTCCTACCTTCTCCCATCAAACCACAGACCACTAAACCAGAGAGGGTCCCAAAGAAGGACCAGCGCACCAGCCTCCTTGTCCATACCTCTGGGGCCTTCTTCGGTCCCATCGCTCCATTTGTTGTACTTGGAATTGTCCATGGCAATGTTGGCACCCAGCCCTGGGTATAGTTATAAATTAGCCCCACCATGCTCCGCCCACTTTCCCTTCCTTCCATTCTCTTTAGTCTCAGTTCCTGTTACAGGCACCAGCGATGACCAACTTCTGGGTTTTCTGGGGAAGTTACAGTCTCCCTGGCAGTAACTTTGATCACATGGACAAATGAATGTTGTTGTTGTTGTTGTTGTTTAGTGCTGTCAAGTCGGTTCTGACTCATAGCAACCCTGTATAGCGTTTCGGAGGAGCGCTATACAGGTGAGCTTAAACCGCCAATTCCTGTGATTCAAACCAACTTTGCAGTCCAGTTCATTAACCCACAGCATCACACCAGAACTCCTGCGACAAATGAATAGATAAACTAAATGTGATATGTACATATAAGGGAATATTATTCCTTCATTAAAAATGAAAATTTGAAACAAGTTGCCATGTGGAAGAACCTTGAAAACATACTGAGTGAAATAAGTCAGACACTAAAGGACAAATATCCCATGATCCCATTTATTTGAAATATTTAGAGAAGGCAATGCATGGAGTCCAGAGTTGATTAGAACATAGTGGTATATACGTCGTTACGTAGTATAACCCTGGTTGCATAGTGGGTTATACGTTGGGCTGCTAACCAGTTTGAATCCATCAGCTGCTCCATAGGAGAAAGATGAAAAGTTCTGTTCCTGTAAAGATTTACAGCTTCAGAAACACTATACAAGAGCACAACCAACTTGAAGGCACGAAGCAGCCCAAAAGCAGCAACTGCAGCAATGGCAGGGAGGAGGAAGGAGAGTCGTTACTTAAGAACTGAATTTCTGTAAAGGGTAATGGGATTGGGAAAGGGACAACCTGCTTGTCATTAATGTCACTGAATTGTACATGTAAAAAAAAAAAAGAAGAAGAAGAAGAAGAAATAAAGGGCAAGTGCTATGAAAAGAAGGAAAGAAAGAACAAATAGACGCAAGAAAGAAGTAAAGAAAGAATAGGGGGAAAAGCCAATCAGGATAATGAACTTGAGAGTGTTGGGTGAGACCAGTGAGCGATAGGCAGCTTGGCCGGAGTGTGTGTTGTTAAAACAGTAAACTTTATGTATGTATATATATATATATATGTGTGTGTGTGTGTGTGTGTGTGTGTGTGTATGTATTTTATGAAGTACTTGTTGTGAGTCTGATCATTGTTATCCATTGAGCATTCTTTGGTTGATTTCTGGAAGTAGTTAGCCAGGCCTTTCCTCATCTTCCAAGTTAGTCTGGAAGCTCCACTAAATCACATCCAGCATCCTAGCAACATGCAAGCCTCCCCTGACAGACAGGTGGTGGCTGCCCACGAGGTACATTGAATGGTTAATATGATCAAGTAAAGGCAAGAGAAGAACGCAGAAGACCAAAAGCAAAATGAGGATGAGAAGGATCACATGAAGTTAAAAGTAAGGCTTACACACAAAATTTACACCCTGAGTTTAAGACTCTTCATAAACGGGTAACCCACCTCCTTACAGAAGGGAAGGGAGCTCAGTGTCTAAAATCAGACTCCGGAGATGCCATAGAGTTCTTCCAAGGTGCCTCTCTCTTGGAATATGTAGAACTAAGTTCTCATTGACCTTTCCATAAATGCATTAGCAAATTTCTCCAGGCCATAAGTAGATGGTCTCATTAATAAAAGCAGGTTTTTCTTGCGGTCCAGCTAAACTCCAAACACATATTCATCACCATTGCTGGAGTGGTTTTAGTATGTTTCAAAGTGAGTGAGTTTGAGATCATGAAGAACAGCTGGCAGAACTAGGGAATGATCGTGGCCATTGATGGATGCCAGATAGGGTATCTAGAGCATATTGCCATCTTTTCCCTCTCACTCTCCTTTCTCTCCCTCTCTCTTCACTTCCCTGGCTCTCTCCCTTGCTGTCTCCTTCCTCTTTCCCTTCTCCTCCTCCCAGTTTATGATGTTTCTTTTCATTCACTTAGCAGTTTTTGTAAGAAACAAAAGTTTTAAAATTTTGACAAAGTCCAATTTCTTCAGCTGTCTTTTATATTTGCTTTTCTTTGTTTTTTTAATCTAAAATACCACGGTGGAATCCACAATTTTCTCCTGTATTTTTTCTTCTAGAAGTTTTATACTGCTAGGTTTTTTGTTCTTATTTTTTAAATTTGTATTGTGAATTGAGTAATAGTTTACATGGGAGAACATTGGTTTTACATGCACCGTTTTATTGCATGCATCATCATCCAACAGTATTTGCCTCTAGTCTCTCTGTATTTTTCGAGGAAGATATACATAAGAACACTCAGGAATGTATAATCATTTAAACAACCAAAGGACCTGCCTCCTGGCCTCCAGCACTCAGTCCCCTCGCTTTCCATGAGACTAGAATCCTCAGCTGCTCCCTCTCTCCATGTCCTCATCTCTGCCTCAATCTCTGGTGTCGCTGCTTCTCTGAATAGGGTCCCACATTCCTTCATGCTCTTCTCCCTTGATGGTCCTAGGATCCTCTGTTCCTAAAAATATGGAACGCATCACGAACTTGTATGTCATCCTAATCTTCTCTCTGTATTGTTCCAATTTTAGTATATGTTCTGCTGAAGCAAGCACTATACTGCTAGGTTTTATAGTTGTTGTTGTTGTTGTTAAGTGCCGTCGAGTCGGTTCCGACCCATAGCGACCCTGTACAGGGTTTCCGAGGGTGTAAATCCTTACGGGAGTAGAAAGCCTCATCTTTCTCCCGCGGAGCGGCTGGTAGTTTCGAACCGCTGACCTTAAGGTTCGCAGCCCGATTCGTAACCACTACGCTACCAGAGCTCCTTTATAGTTAGGTTTCCTAAATAGATTATTTGTGCTAATGTTTCTATGGGTGAAAAGTATGAACTGAAGTTGTTGGGTTATGATATTGCTATTGTTGCTGTTTTTCCTGAGAGCTTGAAATGTTATTAATAGAAAAGAGACTGAAGTCCACAAAAACCAATAGCACACTGGTCAAGAACAAAGCTATGGAGAGAGAACAGTCTGGGGCTGACTCAGCTATGGTCTTATCAACCTTGGGGACTCATCTCTGAAATGGGAGCCATAAAAGATTGTGGCGGGGAGGCCAGGCTGTAGGAGGTGCTGTCCTGTCCTGTCCACGTTCTCTTGGCATTCACCTTTCACAGAGAAGGTTGTGTGTTGTAGCTTCTTGCCTGAGTGGGGGGCAAGCTGGTAGTGCAGCTGAACAGTGTTCTTGGTGCCCTGCACTGGCCCCCAGAGGTCCCAGGGAATTGGACCCCAGCTGCCTCCTTATGAGCACCTCTGGATGAGACATTACTCTTCATTGCCCCACTTCCTTCCTCCCCTTCTAGGAATTACCTCTCAAAAAAAAAAAAAAAAAAACACCTCTGGATGAGACATTACTCTTCATTGCCCCACTTCCTTCCTCCCCTTCTAGGAATTACCTCTCAAAAAAAAAAAAAAAAAAAGCTGTTGTGCTTAGTTGTCCTGGGGTCACTTTCAAGTCAACCCTGATTCATGATGACCTCATGATTAAAAACCTGCTGTCTGGTCCTATGTCAGCCTCATGGTCAATTTCAGATTGGACTGTTGTGATCCACAGCATTTTTCTTGGCTGGTGTATGCAAGTCGATTTCCAGGCCTTCCTCTGGGAGCTCTGCTGACATCTACTCAACATCATAATAAAACAGATGCTACTCATGAGATGCACGGTCTTGCAGTCAAACCCAGAACTTGCAGATGAACTGCTGCTGCATTCTGTGAAGTCAGTTCAGACTCATAGTAACCTTGCACATGAGAGGCTGTACATTTTTACGGAAGCAGAAAGCCTCATCTTTCTCCCAAGAAGCAGCTAGTGGATTTGAACTGCAGACCTTGAGGCTAACAGTCCAATGTGTGACCCATTATGTTACCAGGGCTTGTTTGCAGATAAACTATTCACACTGAAATCCTTGTCATAGGCGATCATTCTGCAAAGCCTCAAGGTCAGTCAAGGACTGGCTCAGTTGTTTCAGCAGGGTGACATGCTCCCTGTGGCAGGGCTAGATGAAAGATGCTGATTGTTGCCGTTGGTATTATTATTCCTGTTGTTAATATCTAAGATCACCTGGGATGACCTAGATTGTGAGGGGGAAACTATGGGGGAGGAAATGAGTCTGATTTAAAGATTCTCTTCTAGGGTTAGTCAAAAAGTATTGCTGCGTAATCATGTTGTTGTTAGGTGCCTCCAAGTAGGTTCCATCTCATAACATCCCTATGCACAGCGGAACAAAACACTGCCCGGTCCTGCAACATCTTCACAATTGTTCTGTTTGAGCCCATTGTTGCTGCCACTGGGTCAGTCCATCACTTTGGGGTTTTCCTCTTTTGTGCTGACATTCTATTTTACCAAGCATGGTGTCCTTTGCCTAGTCTGGCCCTTCCCAATAACATGTCCAAAGTATGAGAGATGAAGTCTGGCCATCCTGGCTTCTAAGGGGCATTCTGGCTATAATTCTTCCAATACAGATTTGTTTGTTCTTCTGGAAGCCCATGGTACTTTTAATATTCTTTGACAATACCATAATTCAAATGTATTAATTTTTCTGCAGTTTGCCTTATTCATTGTCCAACATTCATAAGCATATGAGGACACTGAAAATACTATGGCTTGGGTAAGGTGAACCTTAGTCCTCAAACTAACATCCTTGCTCTATAACCCTTCATAGAAAACTTTATTAAACAAAAATATCAAAATTTGAAGCTACTGCTCTTGACATATCCTCCCTCGAGGTCTATATACTTCTCAAGGTGGTATTTCCATCTCTCGCTCTCTAGGATAAGCACTGTACTGTGAGCCATAAGGTTGGCAGTTTGAGCCCACCAACTGTTCCAGGGGGAAAGATGAGGCTTTCTGCTCTCATAACGACATCGAAATCTCTATATAGGGTGACTATGAGTCAGAACAGACTCAGTGGCACTTACCAACAACTGCTCCCCAAAGAGTGTGGGATTCTTTGATTTATACTCAATG